GGGAGGCTCCACGTGACTTACGTGACTACCACATGCAGCCAGTTTTTTGCACAATGTACTAGCATAAACCTTAGTGAAAGATAGACCAGACGAACAAATCAATAAACCAGTGGGATTGGCGCATTTGGTCCGGTATGTACAGAGGCGTTGAGCGAGCTATCAATTTAGCACTTTCTTATATGGGCCTTGTGTCAGATATGATAGGTACGATGGGCGTCGCTATAACCGCTTGATTTGGCATACAATGAGGCATACAGCATAATGAGAGACAGCAGGGGCACGCGGAACTAAATCGTATAGACGTGTAACGCCTCGGTCCTCATGCGCGCCTTATAGTCTGAACAACAGCTCGTGTGTGTTGAGCCAGGGTGCACGTGGCCCGGCCGTATGCGCGGCTCCTTTTCCCCTGGCGTGTGTTTATTTGTCTCACCCCCTATTTCCTGTAGTATATAGAGGTAGCTACATGTCAATCAAGCCTGCTTCGCCGCTTGCTGAGACCGTTTGTCTCTTTTTCTGTCAGGCTCAACGCGCTACGCGCTTCAGTGTGGATATTACAGCGCATATATGCTCTACTTCTTTCTCGGAACCTGACATTACCAAGTTCTCGACACAGCAGATTTCAACGGGGGTGGGAGTTTAGGTAAAATGGACGGGTGAGCGACGAAGGACCGGGGCCATCATATATGAGCTTGTGTCAGTCATCGCAAATCTAAGAATCAATCATAGGACCAAGCGGGCGGGCCGCTAGGGGGTTTCAGGTAGGCTCAACTGGGGCTCAACTGGTACCTCAACTGGTACCCCAACTGGGCCCTAACTCACGTTTGAATGCTACTAATTGAGCCATTTCTGGCTCTCTTTCTTCATTAGCCGAGCCCAAGAAAATCCCTCTAGCTCATCGGATTGTAGTCCGCATGAATCTGATGTAAACGGTGCGCATATAGTATAGGTATTCGAAAGTTTTGGCCATCGGCGCTTAAGTGGTACGTCCGAGTTGGGCCCAGTTGAGGTACCAGTTGCGGACCTGCGGTACCTATTGAGGCCTATTTTCGCTACCGTGAAACCCCCTAACAGTTGTTGAAAAGAGAGATTGACTGATTGGTCAAACAAGGTTGGGTCGGTGGTGTCCAAGAGCAACGTCTTTTGAGACGTGCATGTCTAGTAGAAGATACTCCACACCTATTACAATGCTACCAGTGCAATAAGCCACAGTGCGCACACAGCTACAAAGGTTCCTCACATGTCTATGCTTACATAACATCGGAAACAAGCGGTGCATGGCCAGGTCACATTCATCTATTCACATGTCGTTGGGACTCCAAAAATATTTGGGTAAAGTACTCCCAGGTCGTTCATTGGATCGAGAAATGTAGTTGGAGCTACTATACGCAGTGAGGAGCACAAATCTTGGCTTGGGCTGATGAACAGTTGCACCGTCGTACGTGGGCGATGGGGGTGTGATTCAAGCATGGAGAGGGGTTCGGAGGCGTTGCGTGGAAGGGGGTTGAAGTTTGATGTGTGCGCATGACATGATTTAATGGATTGAACAGAAGCAGCATGTCACGCCTTGAGGAGGAGGAAGCACGGTACAATGCGACTTATCTGCCCGGCTGCCACTTGCCTCGGAAGCTCTGGGGTTTGTTGGCCCATTACGACAGTAATGTATCATATTTCCTCCCGTGCTTGTCGCTAAAAGTATGTGTATGCGTCGCTATTGAACAGAAAAGTTCATTTGACCTTCGCGGTGGCTCAGCATCGAGTTTCCTCCGTCATTTCGAAGCACATTTATATAATTCCGCTCATTGATTTATCTTGTCAGTAACAAGCTACGATTTGTACCCTGCAAACCGCGTGGCTCTTAGGGGTTTTCATCTACTAGAGCCCCAAAAAATTTGAGCACTGGCCGTAGATGTGCTGGTGAGCGCGTCCACTCTGATCTAAGGGTAAAAGCCTGTTGGTGCGCCTAAGAGCCATGCCATACGAGAGGGAAATGGCGTACTTGAGGACTCGCACCCGAGTGCCGAACTGAATAGCATAGGTAGCATACCGGGCTGGGTGAATTGGACAAGCAAAAAAGGGGACGGCGCAGCCATATCCTATGTTAGCTCCCACTGTTTCCCACTTTGAGGTACTGTTTGGTACACAAATATAATCGTAGGTGTTTTTGTTTATTTATTTTTATCTTCAGGATTGTATGTTGATTGTTGCCTCGGGTCATTACGCTACAACAGTGTTACATGATAACTCGGAGAGCAATGTAAGTCCGTACGTTCGAACATGCTTCTTCATCGGTGACCAGCACGAACACCTTTAGGGTTGGTTGTTAAATGATTTAAGCTCAAACCGAGATCAGACTGATGCACTATATAGTGGTAAGTGCGAAATATAGGGCTGTATATGGGCAGATCAGTCGGAGCCCAACTTGGTGACGAGATCAGCGCGTGGCAGTCATCGCAAACCCGCGAGTCCACTAGAGGGCCGAGCGAACCGTCGTTAAGAGAGATATTTGCGGGTGAGTAGCGAGAGGGTATATCGGTGGTATCCAAGAGAAATGTCGTTTGAGACGTACATGCTTGACAGAATACACCACCACACTTGCGACAGTGCTATACTAGGAGATGAGCCTGAATGTACAAACAGCGAATGAGTGATGGCTTACATGTCGACGTTCAAACAGTGAAAAACGAGTGGTACATGTCCAGTTGTCGCACTCCTCTGTCATACTATCAGGCTTCCAGAGAGATCTAGGTAGAAGGATTGCAAGTCGCTCATTGGTTCGAACAGGATGTTTGGGCTTGATTTGAGCCATGAGCAGTGAGCGCGCCGATCCGGGCGGGTGAGCGATAGCATCACCCCTAATGGTAGGGGTATGGCTCGAGCATAACGAGACGTCTGGAGGCGTTGCGCAGCTGGAAGGCAGAGCTTGGACCGTGGGTATAACTTGGCGGCAAGGATTCGAAACGGACAACATGCTGCGCTTGCTGGGGTGCGTAGTACTTGCATGTGGCTTCTGTTCTCGGTCGCTAGATACAGGTTTAGGATCCGTTGCGTGGTGCTTTACCTTCTTCATCTTTTTATGCGACTCTACGGTGAGCCTCTATCCATTTGTAACCGACAATGCATGTGACTTACCATATCTCGGACATCCAAGGAACTCGGTCGGTCTGAGGGGGTTTGAAGCCAGGTGTCTTTTATGAGTTCCCATAATCGATTGGCCTCATCCTCCTTGAAAGAAGGCATTTGCTCTGGACGTTCAGGAATTTGCTGGCCTACAGCCACTGCAATATACACTGCTCTGTCGTGCTTATCACTGAACGGTATCGTGCCAGTGACAGACTCCTGGAACACCAGTGAGATTCGGCATAGTTATTCTAGGCACAATTTTACCCACCAAGAGCGTCTATTACCCACACAGACTAGTTAGAAGGGTACCAGAAGTAGTCAGAAAACAAGCTGAGTCACCATTCCAAGTGCGTATACGTCCGCTTCTTTGCTGCGCGTCACAGGTCCTGTTAATATCTCTGGAGCCTTCATGGTGAGTTCTAGTCAGCTCGGGCGCGTATAAGCCAAAAAAAAAAAAAGCATACCGCCCAGCGCATAGAAAGGTTTGATTTGTTGGTCGTCGTCGTGAAGCATAGTGTATTTGATTTCAGCTCCGTGCACCCAAAATCTGTCAGTTTCGCTACGCCTTCGTTGGATATTAGTATATTTGCCTATAATCAGCTTTAGCCATAGCATTTCTCAAACAAACAGCGTCTTAAATTCTTACACTTTTAATGTCTCCATGAATCTAGTTGGCCATTGGCGTTATCATCACACTATAGAGCGGAGCAGGAGGGAACATACTGTGTCATGTTGATGCAGGTACGCTACGCCTTCCGAGATATCAACACACTGAGGATGTTGTAAGCCTGTGTATGTTTCGGCGAGATATGGCATTAACTCACTAGCCGATGGCGATCTACGCCTGGGTGGCGACCGAGGTACTCCAGGAGAGTCCCATTATCCATCCAGGGCGAGATCATAGCTAGATGGTCTCGAAATTGCGCGAGTCCTAATAACTTCAGAACGTTGTCGTGCTCCAGACATGACCATACATAAATTTCGCGGGCAGCACGCTATTGAAACGCGAGTATAGCAGACGAATAGCCCACTTTTGGATCAGATCAGCGTACCTTCAAGAGCTTGTGCCCATTCACATCATCCTGCCGGAGATATAGTCGAGCGCACTTGATCGCTACTTTCTTTCCCCCACGTAGTGATCCCTGGTATACATCGCCGAAACCACCACCTGCCAGCGGAGCACGCCCACATTTCTCCAGATCCAGCCGCTCAGTGATGTCAAGACACCGGCGCTGAGTGAGGATTGCGACGATAGCGGAGGCAGGCTACCAAGATAAACAGTCCTGTCAGCTCTTGAGCGTTATGCCAATGATATACGTCCTCCGCGCACCATAGTACTGGATATGATGCTCGTAACGCCCCCACCCGTGTTTTCGTCATCTAACGATGTCTGTTACTGATTTGATCTCGTCGATGAATAAACTATCATACCCACAACAAAGTTTGTCTGCATAGCAGCTGTTAAGTTAGCGGTTGTGCCAGCGAAATAGCTCACGGGCACTACGAAGGACGAAAACAAACGTCGGGCGGCTATGGTGGGATAGTCACAAGACCACGCTGATCCAAAATTGGACCCTACCGCCAATGCGCCGCCGCCGGGTCTGATAAAACCAGAGGTCGACCAATATAGATAAGCCCCCGAGCATCGACCCAGGCTAGTCGGTAAAGCCAGTCAGCGAGTCATTTAGGCGTCAAAGACACGCTGGTGGAGGATATGGTAAAACGTACGCGCAAATCGACACTGGATGGGGGCCGGCAACTCATAGCTATAGTCAGTGCCAAACCTCCTCAAATCACGTGGTGACATCTCTTGCTAAGATGAGCTCGTGGCTAGAGACCGACACAGACCGATCGGTGGCTCCTCGGAGGTTTACGAGTAAGCCCTGCTAGCTCAATCGGTAGAGCGTGAGACTTTTACGACTTGGGTGGTTTCGCTGCTTAGTTTGCTCTGGTTTATTATGGAATCTCAAGGCTGCGGGTTCGAGCCCCGCGTGGGGCTTCACGCTTTTGCATATACTTGCGGTCCACAGTCCAATTTTTCTATCAGCCACTAATGCTGCAATATAAGATATATGTGATAGCTCCGCTACCCCTACGAAGAGCTGTGTGTTGGAATTGTACGGTAGCCAATATTTGTCTAATTATGGGGGTCGGCAACCGCCCAGTACACGTAAGCAAATGATGTCCGGGCCGAAATGTCCAAACAATTTGCAACACTAGAGTCCGAGCCGCCTTCACACGTCGTACGACCTCAATACTCACCTCCTCCATCTAGAAGCTCGTTACATAGGCTATAATACACAGTAAAGTGCTGCAAAGGGATTGTTCTGAACAGACTTAGTTTATCTGCCTTGATTGATATTTTACAAATTGTAAATACGCCATTCAGGCCTGCAAAAAATACTTTTTTCAAAACGATCCCTTTAGCGAGGTGCTCGAAGCGATTTCGCTGAGTTTTTAGGCACTGAGATGACATGTTGTGGGAGCTACGCTGTATGCAAGGATACACACTTTGGAGCCAAGTTGACGCTTATATAAGCGATTTTGCATGAGTAATCATAGGCATGAGGGGCTTGCACATCTCTCATTCGGATTCTACTGCTTCATAAGTATAGCTTGGTACAGCAAGCACGTCCATGAGAGCTAATTGGTCGCTCAGAAGGCTCAAGTTCCGTAAGAAAGCACGGGAATTAAGTATTGTTGGTACAATCCGGCAGAGTTGATAACGCGTTGGTTTCGGACTCATGCGCTTTCCCCCCCTCCCCTCGGATAAGAAAAGTCTAGAAGCCTTGTGAGCACATGGTCATTACTCCAAATGACGGGCGAAAATGAATCTTATGCTTGACAGACAAAAGGAGCCGAAGAAAAAGTAGGTGCTATACGTAGTCCTGCTCTGATCAAGCCATATGGGGGCTATATGCGGGTACATTCTTCCTTTGAGGATCGAGGAGATAGACAACCAGATTGATGAACGTTGGGAATGCAGTGGTAGTCGAGTTTCAATAAGGACAGCAACCGGGAACAAACAAGTAAAAACCCAGGAGGTTTGGGCAGGTCTAGACAGTCGAGAGCGAGCAGAAGTAAGTCTTTATCCATGTATCATGCCACTCACTCTGTTCTGCTTGTGAGTGAAGGCGTAGAGAATGCGGAAACATATCCCGGCGGCGGTGTAGAGCTCTGTCATGATGATGTAGCATTGTCCTAACTAGGTTTATGCACGAAAAAAGGCCATTCTAAATATCTGTAGTATGTTATGTACACTATACTATAATATCTAATCTGTGGCTCTTGAACGGTGCCTTGCGCGCGGCAAATAAGTGGTGGACTATGGGTGTTTGTGATTGTCCAGTCACGTGATCTGGACAAAAGCTTCCTATTGGTTGCCGACCCCCACTAATTACAGTAACCAGGCGGGAGATGGCTCACGTGGCACAGAGAAGGCTGGCTCGCGCTCTCCACGATCGTCCCTTTTCAACATATCGTGAGCTACCTATATGATGTAGACCTTCGCCCTCGCCCAAAAGCGCACCTCTCCCACTTACCAATCCCCGTTGCTCCGGTTGGTCTACTCTCTTGATCCTGCTTGTCAACCTACTACCCGTCCTTGGACTTTGGGGATCTTGCAACGATGTAGTACACTGAGCTCATCAGTATCACTGCATGCCCAATAGTTTTTAAGTTATATGTCCACTTGGAAAACAAATGCGAGCACCCAAGATTCATCTCGCAACATCTTCGCAAAACTAGTGGAAGGGACTACATACGACAAAATACCGGCTTTAGGGGTAAATGAATGAAAAATTCCCAAGCACTACTCAAAAAAATAGCTATGAGGTACGGCTATCGAGAAAATTACAGAAAAAAGTGTTGCTAGCGCTCAATGGAATTTGAAAGAGCCACAAAAGCTGTGAGTTATACTCGCGTATTCCGGCTAGCCAAGGTATTTGCTACTGGGCGTTGGCTGTTGAGCTCTGAGCGACCAACCTGATCTGTGTGCTGTAGTTGTATAATAGCCGGGGTTTCTGCCTGGATCTCTGTAATGAAGCGAGGATCATCGGAGCTCAGTTGGCCATCAGATCCAATGAGCAAAATCGAGGGTCGAATCCAGACTGTGAGCGCTACGTTGACCAATCCCATGAGGTAGAAAGTGACGCTGAAAACCATTGATGGAGGATTCATGCGCGGGTTAGATAGTAGAGAAGGATCCCTGAACGCAGCCCAACGCATGATGGAAAGTGGGAGAATGCAAAGGGTATAAGCAATAGGGTAGCTGTGCGTGATTTTCTATCAGATCATTCAAGCCATTGTGTCTAAGGAATACGTAACCTACTACAATATCTTAGCGGGGCTATCTCCGTCTTCGGTACTGGAGTCGGAGCTGGCGTGACTTTGGTTGTCGAATTGACTGTCTTCACGTCCGGACTCGCGTGTCACCTTCAGCTCCTTTCTATTTTTTCGTAAAACAATGTAGGAAGGAACGTAGAGGCAGATTGTGCCGACCCCTGCAACCCATAGCCTTGAAGTAGATCAGAACAGCTGATAAACATACCGGACTAAAACTCAAAATACCAAAGATATTCGGCGACTATGCGGTCTGTCATATACCTTCCGTTAATCCAACACCCTATAGACAAGATCTAGTTGAGTTCGCCTGATATTTGAACCGGACTATACACTCACACCATGGAGTTGGAGTATAATACAGCCTTGCACCATGCCAGTCAGGCTCCAGCCCTGCATAGATTCCAATGGGCACGACTCCCCATATAATGACCCATAGCCAGGTAGGGACTATTACTGCCAGACAGTACCATGGGCTATATGATGGACGTTGATTAAGGTATATCACGGCGGAGCTGTAGACAGCGACTAGTATAGTAGCAAACGCTACTGCCGTCTCTCCGATGGTTTGAATCGCACCCTGCGCGTTACACATTGGCCCAGTGTATACCTGCCGCTTGTGAGCCCAGTATATGTTCGGTATGGATCCAAGCGACATCCAAATATCGGCGAATACAAGATTAAACTAGCTCGCTACTTCAATCATCTGGCAAACCTCATTAAAGTATTCAATCATACCATGAGAATATCAATATTTCCTCGGAAGAGTCGCCACGGTCCAGGCGGCGGTTTGACAAGATTACGACGATAATTGCGCTACTCATGGCAACGCTTAGCATATACGTATCCTAACTAATCAGTGCTACCGACAATAATGACGCCAAGTAGTAACAAAAGTGCAACGAGAGATACGAGGCCAGCCTCGGCTTGGAACTAAATACGGCCGTGACTCAGCGTCAACCAAAGGTATGGCGTAAATAACACACCGCAAGCCCGACAACTGCCCCAGTCTCCAAACAAACGTTTGACGGGTTCTCCTGAGTATCAGGATAGTCTTTATAACCTGTTGTACACTTAACGGGTCCAGACAGGTACACTGTGGATGGCATGCTGGAGAGAGCTCTACAGTTGGTGGCATACAGTCTTAAACCATGGCCCACATATAAGCCAACCACACCAACACAAAACGGAGACAGAGCGCTGTGAGTTGCGCTTCAATAATCCATATTGGATGTGTATGCGGCGCTAGTTGCTAGGAAATGTGTCTGAATACCGGTCATGCAGTGCTTATCTTCAAGACGAAGGGGCTGACTCCACTGATAGACTGCGCCAACTCAATATTCCGCCAAAGAAAAGGTATCACATATCCTAGTAGAGAAACACCGAGAACACCAGTCGCTTGTGGCGTTTTGTTTTAGGTGTGGGACTTACCTGCGGTTGGCAGTGCAAGCAGTACTTATCTGCCACTCAATTACCCCAAGCGCCGACGTGGGGTGGGCGCATATAGTCAAGTATCCTCCCTTGAGCAAATTGAATTGACACTATCAACGCAACATTTACAGCGTACAAAAAACCTATCCCGAATATACCGCAGGGCCAGGGGGCGTATATGAAGTTGGCACTGGGTAATAGCTAGACAAGAGGAGTTAGCAACGTTAAAGGACTCATGTATGTTAGAGATTCTGCTCACATGTTGATGGTAATGCCCGGATCGGAGCCTTTGTAGGCACCGGGGAACGACACTCCTGCGGGATTTGCGGACCCGCCGCCAGTAACGTTGATCTGGACACACGACCTATAGTGCCATACTATCAGCGACCACTAAGCATTCTACCCCGGTCCAACGTACATATAGAATTGTGCACCAGGATATGTGCTAGCAGCGTGTAGCCCAATAGTTTCTCCGCGAAGGAGATATTGACCAGGTGCAATATTAGAGGGGATCTTGAAGGTGTAGCGCCCGTCAGGTTTAGGGGCAGACCACGTGTTCCCGCTCAGTAGTCCCTCTTGTGAGATCTATTTTTAGTATAAGCGTTAGCCTCGTGAGCCGAGGTGGGGCCAGAGAGCCGTTTTACTCACCTTGAACCACTTCAACCCCGTAATCGTGGTCGTCTTTGCGTCGCTGACTTTCGCCAAGTAGATTAGGTTAGGTCCAGGGTGAGCGCCTTGGTCCCATTGGACGTAAGCAGTTGCGCCTGCTGGGACATTTGTAACACCCGAAGCTGCGCGATTGCCGTTAACGTTGCAGATGATATCGTTGGAGGTAACATCCGTTACTGGAGAGTTGTTGGGCGGAAGTCTACAAGTGACGTAGAAGTTCAGTTCTAAACGCCTGGAATGTTTGAGTCAACGGAACTTACCTGACGCTGGTGGTATCAGGAGCGCCTCCATTGACGCTGATCGCGGTCAGCCGGACATGAGCCAGGGCAGAGCCGGCGCAGGCAATCGCGAAAAGGAGAGCAGACGAACGCATTGTAGTTGTGAATGAGCTGACTAGACTAACCAAGTGGTTTATATATGCGCACTCCCGGTGATACGGTTTTTTCGACAGCCCGACAAGACTCCTTCAAGTCATGTGCTTGGTCAAGCGGACCCCAGCGTGACTGGTTTAACTCCGTAGCGGAGGTGTTTATGAACCTAATAATAGGCAAACTGGCC